AACTCCACAGGCAAGCGACCATCTCCTTTGTTCCAGTTTTTGAAATGTGTCTGGTTGGAGTTTTCCAAAGCTACTAGAGTGCAATTAAATACACATAATAAATAGTTAATGGGTTGCCAAGCTGCAGAGGTGGGGCTAATCAGCTGAGGCTTCATGGGGTGGTTAATGATGGATTAAGAATGGGGAAACTGATAAAGCTAAATATTTAAAGGCTAATATTGTACAGGATGATGGATGCTTTGTCAGCTTCGATTGCATATGACCAGAATTAACATTGTGCTTATCTTCCTCCACCTTCTTCTGTGGATTACTTGGCTCCAAAATGTTGTGGTTTTGAGAGTCTCTGTCCAAATTCCCCAGAGTGGAGCACTGCCTGTCAGAGGAGATGGCCTAAGAGGCTGTCTTACAGTTGAAATTGGGTTGGGAGGTTAAAAAACAGTGACTATATGAAGAAGGGGCGTTACCAGCCACACACTGATCTGCTTCTGTTCCTACTCAGCTTGCTGAAATACAGGGATTTCAATTGATTTTGTTTTCTTTGCAGTGCTGGCTGGTGAGCCAGTGAGAAGGGAGCTGTGATCTGCAGGCATGCGGCACAGGAGGGGCATGTTCCACCGCCTGCACAGCACTGCTGGGAGCTACCAGGAGCTTTGGTTTTTCATTTGTGCCATGCACTGATGAGCTGCTGTGTCACTGCGTTTTGTGTGCAGAGTGGAAAGGGTAACACATACCTACTCATGCAAAGGATCCCTATATATTACAGCTATATTTATTTATTTATTTAAAAAAAATTGACATCATTATGCATTTATTATCATTTATTAACCAGCAATACATTATGTTCTGATATTGGTATCTCAGAAGGTATATTTAGGCTTAAAAATTAATACCAAAAATTAGTGCCAAATTCTGTCCGAGGGAAATGACTCCTACTGAAATCAACTGATGCTAAATAATGCTGCTTTTTCAGCATCTAACTATTGGATCGATAAGGCCTTCATCTTTCTCTGCAGTCTGTCAGCTACTGGGAAGACAGGCAGCCCTGTAGACAAGACACAGACAGTGAGGTCAAGAGAAGTGGATTCTTTCCTCAGTTTGCCTTAGGGGTTTTGCAAAGCCTTGGACAAATCACACAACCTCTCTATTAAAACTCCTGACTTCCAAACTGGAAATGATCATAACTGTCTGCTTCCCTGTCAAAATATGGAGTAAATCAATTTTCTGTATGTATGGAACAGTGGGGGGAAAACTACCTGAATGTTTTGGAAGGAACAGACATATTTCTGTTAGCTTTCATGTTTTTGTAAGCAGCCAAAGAGTGCACCCATGCTTTAATATATTAAAAAATTAAGCAATATCTAGAAGAAGATATGTAATATTGGCAGGGTATAGTTAGTATAATTTATTAACATTGTTCATTTCCCTGTGGACATCATTTATTTTGGATAAGGCCAGAGTGACTGAAACGTTGAAAGGTTAATGAAATAAGAGTGCTTTGCAATTGTTTTACTTTAGGTGGTAGTCAGAAAAATATTTCCACATTTCATGTGTTAGAAAAGATATCTGGAGCTGGCATGAGTAGTGGTTTTGATGTATTCTCTGGTACATTAGTCAAGAGCATGCTGATGTAAACAGAAGTGTCTCTTCACCTTTCATCTTTGTTCTTCAACTTTGATACTGGCCCCCTCCAGTGGCTTATTTCTCCTCCTGGGGAGGCTTAACAAAGTCAGTTTTCATTTTTCTAGTCTTCTTAAGACTCTAAAGAAATAGACACATCTATTGTATAGTCACTGAAGCTCTTGAAATAGTGTGGGATTTTGTCTCAAATCCTGAGGAGAACTGAGCTGAGAAGGAAGGGAAAAAAAAAAAGAAAAAAAGAAAAAAAATAAAGAAAAAAGACGAGTAGTTTTGTCCACAACTTAAAATATGGTAAATACATCATATTTTCACTTCTGATGGTGTTTGTTTGCTTTTTGGTGGGGGAGAAGAGAGAAAAACTGAGAATCTTCAAATTACAGGCAGAACAAGCGGCAACGCCTATGGGTAAGTTGATGCATCATTACCCATTATAAGACCTTGGCTTTTGATGCCTGTGACTGTCAAATATTAGCTAATTTGTAATGATTTTTTCTGCAATTGATGTGTCAGCCTGAAGCTGATTTTTAAAGTACAGTTTGCAAAATAAGGTTGGCAAAAAATACATTTTGCTTGTGTTAAAAAATATTATTGGACTGCATGACTGAGCAAGAAACTCTGTCTCTGTGCTACACAGCAGAAATTTGGCAAAGGGTTTGCCAAGGATTTGATGGGTGGGGGATGTCTCAGACTGCTCATACTAAAACACATAAATACAGACCTCTGGTCAGAATGGTCTTTTCACATTCCACTGTCTGAAAAGTCCAACAGTAACAGACATCTGCTCTAGGTATGCTGGGGATAGGCAAGACTTTCCAGCAATGGCTTTTCCTAGCAACAGAGGCCTTTTGTAGAGGTGAGTGCAAGAACTGAGGGATCTGCTGTTGCTCCCCACAGTCCCACCCATAAACACATATGAAGAGTCCATGCAGGCTGTGCAGACAAGAGGATATTGGAACTTAATGAGAAAAAAATGAGGAGACTGTGACAAGAATGAAGGAACAGCAGCTGGTAGAGATGGTGTGGGGGACTGAAGCAAAAGAAGCAAGGATGTTGGGAGAAAGAAGCCATGAACTTGGACCAGGAGTCAGAAATGGACTACTGAAGTAAGACTGCTGCATTGTTAAGAGAAGGGAAAGTGATGAAAGCATTAGGCTGAGAGTGAGAGACAGAGGATCCTTGGGTATTATAGCATAAAACTTTTCAAAGAGTCTCTTTGGCCAAAAAAACCCAAACCAGAACTGTGGAACTCACCAACAAAATGCATGCTTTGTTCTCCAGCGATTGCTGCATTTGAAAAACATCAGCCCACTGCTGGTGAATTGTGAGGGCGCCCTAGTGGCAGTGTGAGATGTGGATATCAAAGGTCTTGTCCTAGTTCTAAACCATTCAGACTTAGAATTCTACATGAAGGGTTCAGTTTCTTAAGACTGCAACACAAAGACCAGTGATTTTGAAAACCCAATCTTGCACATTAGGAGATGGTAGGTTTACTGCTCATAGAACCCCCATTCTCCTCAGTTTATACATATTATTTTAAGCAGACTTTAATTGCATAATCATGTTTGTGTCTCACAGAACACTTGCCACATTAAGTGCAAGAATGGATACAGCCTGGGAAATGAATCAAGGAATTGTCACCATTACAGGATGAGGTGCCTTGGTAGCTCCTCTTAAGTGCATCCCTTCAGCAATTTTCATTAACTTAGTCTTTCTGTACAGAAACATGCCAGTGCATCCTGTCATTTTTAGACTGTGTTTATGAGCTGAAACTCCCTATTTAGCAACAGTTTGCTCTGTGGCACTAGCTATCTCAACTGACTGAATGGCAGCTCCTTCAAATCAAAGCTTTATTCTCTCAGAGACAACACAAAAAGTGAAGGCAGCACAAAAAGTGAAGATTTGACAGCAGAATCTTAGAGCTCCTGCCATCTTTCCAGGTTTTGCAAGTTCGCTCCATTCCATTTTTATCATCCTCCAGTTTGCGAGGAGCTGCTTATGAGATGCCATGGGCATGTACAGCCGTTGTTGACTTCACAGTCGAACCCCTTCCCTAGGACAGTAACTTTTACAATTTTGATGCCCATTTTGAGTCATCTCAGGCAAAAGAACAATAAAAACCTTGTCATTGTCATGGGAAACAGGTATGGATGTTCCTTTTAGCAGCTTCCCCCTTGTAACTTCAAGAGTTATTTGTGCTTTCTGGGACTGCACTTCATCGTTCTTTGTAATGGAGTTGTTTTCTATTTGCACTTTCTTTTAACAGTATACTTCAATGTAACTTTTTTAATCATGTGGAATAATACAAACAAAATTAAATGACAGGTATCTTGTATTTGTAAAGGTAAGAAACGTAACACCATCATTTTTTCCAAGAATCTAGTCAATGGGACTGTTTTCTCATCAGAATTCTGCCTGACTCATTGCAGCAAAGACTGGAAGTTACAGGAGGAATGGATGAAAGTGTTTGCAAAGACCAAACAGATCACATTCTTGCTGGAGTATTTGTAGAATTGAGGAAGTTACATAAATCCAATTTCTGAAGATGGTCAGTGATTTTTTCCTCCTTTGGCGTATAGAAAATCCATTTTCTGAATTCACAAAATCTTTGGGTGCATGAAGCTGCAAAAAGGCATCAGTGATGGGTATGCCCAGAATAAATTAAAGACTACATGAGATACCATAGACCACACTGCAGAACTGCAGGACCCAGAAGTCTTCAGCTGGGTTCTCAAAATTAGTTGTCACTTTTTAACCATTTGGCTTCAAAGTATCTCCTCAGCTCATAAGGAGGCTGCTCATAAACCCCTCAGCTGTGTCACAGAAGAGCAAGACAAAAGTACAAGGAAGGGCAGGGCATGTGGTAAGCAAGAGCTGCTAGTGCTTTATCCCAAACAGCTATGGCAAAGGACAAAAAAGAATGCCTGTACACTGCAATTATGAAAATAGGAAGCATAACTGTGTAGCTAAAAGCTACATGTTGCAAACTTTACGCGTGAAGTTTAACTCTCCTCCCCGTTGGTCTCTGCAGCGATGGCCGCAGCGCAGAGCACGTTCCTTTCTGTGAGGCACCCCCTGCCAGCCAAGAGCCCTAGTCCAGGGCCGGCAATGCTCCCCCTCCAGCTGTGCCCTCTGCCACGGCCGGCCCCCACACGCTGCTCTGGAAGGCGACAAGCACAAAACAGGGATTAAAGACGGCAGCGCTTTACTCCGTGCAAGAGCTAAAGATGAAGAAAAGGGCAGATAAACCCTAAAGGTACTACAGCTCCTTTCCCAGGGGCTCACCACCTTCATCCAGCACTCCCAAGCCCGCCACCGACGTCCGACGACGAAGCCGGGTGAGAGCGGGAAGAGAGTACTTCGTCACCCTCGCTTTACGGCCTGGCGTGTTTTGCGACGCCCAAGATGGCTGCCCCCAGGGTAGAATGAGCCCTCTCCGGCCGCTGCCGTGCAGTCTGAGGGAATACGGGCAGGCAGTGCAGCTGCCGTGGGGTTTCACCGTCCGGGGCTCAGCCGGCCGCTGACGGCGGGTGCGGTGGCGTTCTCCTCTGGCCGCAGCGAGCGAGGAGGGGGACTTGTTCGCGCCTGCCTGGTGTGCAGGGCCATTCCGGGGCGCGTAACAGGAGAGAGGAGTCGGCTCTGGGAGCCTCGCCGGGACGGCGGGGGGAATGTGGGGCGCCTTGCTGCGGCGCGGAGGCCGCGGCCCAGGCTGCCTCCGGGGTCTGGCGTCGGGCGGCCCACCCTGGAGCCAGGTGGTGTCGGAGGCCGAGAAGATCGTGGGGTACCCGACGTCTTTCATGAGCTTGCGGTGCCTGCTGAGCGACGAGCTCAGCAACATCGCCATGCAGGTCCGCAAGCTGGTGGGCACCAAGCATCCGCTGCTCGACACCGCCCGGTAAGCGCCCGGTCCGGTGGGAAAAGCAGTCCACCGCCCCGGCGGCTGTGGGGTTCGGGGCGATGGGGCCCATAGAAGCCGCCGGCAGCCCTCCGGAAGCGCTTCAAAACTTCTGGGAAGTTTTGGGCTTGCTTGGTTGTCAGGAGCGGGGGCCCGGGGCGGTGGCGGTGCTCGGCATCGTTTCACGGGCTCGTGAGCGGGCGGGTGGGTGCCCCAGAGCGGCTGCGCCGGTGCTGTGATTGGTGTGTCCCTTGGGTAGCCCGACCGTGAGCCGTGGGATTCTGCGCGCTGGTTAGCCCTCCCCATCAGGGCCTTCGTTTGCTTCCCGCTACAGGTTTTCCCTTCCGTTACCCTTTGTCACTCCGAAGTTACTGCGTTGTAATGCCAAGTGCAGCGAATGAGTTTCCCCACGTGATGTACAAAGGAAAATAATCCCTAAATAACAGAGTATGTCTCACTAACAGTTACATATTTCTTCATATTAAAACTGTATTGCAGTGAAATCGTGGAAGAAAGCCCGGCAGAGCTAATCAACCTAAAAGCTGAAAATGACACTGCTCTGAACTGTGTACTTTGGTTACTAAGGGCTTTAGAAAACATTGTCTGTTTTGGAACACCCAGCTGGGAGCTGTGAGGTTTTGTATATTGTTGAGATATTTAGGGTTGCTAAGCTGGTCATCCACCCTTTCATTTTTAAGGCAAACTGATGGAAGACTTGCATTCCTGCCAATAAGCAGGAGTTGGGATTGTTTGGCAGTGTTTTCTTCGACTGTAAAGCAAGAACTGATTAGCATTGGTGATTGTTGTTTTTTGTTTTTTTTTTAACAGTAAAATGCCAGAGGCTTAACAAAATTAAAAAAAGAAAAAAAAAGATGCCCTTTTCCAGGGTCATTGGGTTTTTCTGGGGGATAGTTTTAGTTTGATAGAACTGGTTTTGCTGTAACCACAAATACAGTGATGTTACAGAACCCACATTTGATACGTACAGTATTTCTGAATTGGTGTAAAACAGAAATTAGCATTTATTTAAAAGAAATGTTTTGCTTTTCTTTAAAGGAATAAAAATTCTAACTGCATAGTAGTCCTTGTTGGCTCAAGAGTTATGGTCTAATGATGTAAAAACAAGATTTGTTTTTGAAGCTCTAAATTTTGTTGTTTTAAGTGAACAAAAGGAGTACAGGGGGCAAACATATCTTTTAAAAGAAGCATTATTTTGAGGGAGAGGGATTAAGATCCTGGCTTTAAGTAGACTTTTATGGAAGAAACAAATAAACTTATTCATAAAAGTGGAAAATACCTAGCTTTAAAAATTGTGTTGGAGGGGATTTTGTTGAATTGCATATTAGTTAAGGTTGTGATATTATGATAAGCTTAGCAAAGATTTTTGGTTTTCCTTTTTAAGAGGAGGGGTAATAAGAAAATGTTTTTCTGCCTTTGGATCCAACTTTAAGGTCGGCTGATAGAAAGTAGGGAATAGGAGGACCTAAGTGCAATGTATTTGGTCTCTTAAGCTTCCACTGTAGTGGAAGTATCGTAGAGACCCACATCTTTAAAGAGTATATTCAGTGTGTATCAGTTGCTGGCTTATTTGCAAATTAAGTTTAAATGGAGTATTTTGGGGCACAGTTGGAGGTTTTGTGGTGGAGCTGTGATGTGTGGGTTTTGTTGTTTTAAGTGGACTGCTTCAGGCTTAGTTCTGTAAGCTTGCGTCTTGTGGAACACTTTTAGGAATAGTCATGCACAGGGTCAGCAGGATTGAGTCCGTTAATTTTTTTAAATTCATACATGTTTCAAAGTACACTGCAAACCTGATGTGTTGTGCTGGAAACAGAAGTCATTATTTACTCACTGAAACAGCATGCCCTTGGTTTAGAAATACCAGTGAAGCTGGATGAGAACATGGAAAGGCTTCGTTGTAGATGGGCTTTCAACGTACATTTGTATTTACAATGTATTTACATTGTATTATTGTATATTTACATTGTAAATTTATATTTACATTGTATTGTCAATGGACATTTGTATAATACAAATTACATTTGTATTATAAGAAGAGTTAATTTCTTGCTGATAAGTTTTACTACACCTGTTGCAATGCACAAATTGTACCTCACCTTCATTTACGGTATGATTTTGCAATGAAGTGGAGTTTGACCTTGTCCTTTCTTAATAATTTTAACCTCTTTCTGAAATTTGACTGTTGTATGTTTGACTGTAAATGGGATTGATTTTAGCTGTGGGTCTGAGACCTATGCCCTGACTTACTATAGCAGTTTGGGAAACAGGTCTTGATTTTTCAATCTCTGCCTCACTACCCTTCCTTATCAAGTAGCAGAGGTTTCTTGTCCATAAAAATGCTTTAAGGTGTGGGTATCTGAGATAATGTTTTTCGGTGATATATTTATTTATTTTAAAACTGAAGTGACTGATGTGCTCTGCAACTCTAACCTTTCAGACTGTTAATGCATAAATACTGTATGTGTCAATATTAAATGCTCCAACACTTAAGGAGATTTTTCTGTTTGAGAACATCTGAAAAATCTCTGCAGTAAATTTGATTAATTACACGTGCTGTTTCTCAAGTTTCTATTCATTTATTTTTGAGATTGTAAGTGGTGACAATCAAATTATGAGTGCTTGCTGTCATCTCTAAACGATATTAATTTTTGTTTTAACTATCTTTCACTGGTGGCATTTTGTCATCAGTGTTTTTTGTGTCTGAATGCTGCTAGCCTTTGAAGTCTTCCTCAGACCATTAAGGGTTTCTCAAGCATTAGTAGAAACCCCTCTGCTTTATCTGCACAGAATAGGTTCTGAGCTGAGACAGAATAAGGCATAATTGCTACTACACTGAAAGCCTTTATTGTAACAGGAGTACTGATGAGCATTTTTAACCTTTTGCTGACCTTTGGGTCACTAGGCTGTTGCAACACATAGACTGTGCTGACTTAAAGAAGGTGGCTTCAAGGTAACTGTGAGACAGGACATGTGGACGAACAGCTGTTGGAGCAGTATACATTTTTCTGATGATCCCATCCATTTCTTCCTCTTGTTTGGATGTAGCGGTGGCAGTTCCTGGGTGTAAGTGCCTGCCATGAATCAGAACTGCAGCAGGTATTCTGCTGGGATGATGTGTGATCCTGATACCTCCTAGCAGGCCTGTGCCTGGCCTGCAGCCTTAAATCTGTGAGCTGTTACTGACTGCTCTTGGGAGGGCAGAGATGGGTACCTGAGCCCTACAGTGAGGAATTTTGGAGTTCTGTAATCTGTGCAGTTAAGTCAAGTTCATCTTTCTTTTAGTTTTATTATTTTTAAGTTACTGATTTCTAAAGTGTCAGCTACATGAAATGAGCATCCTTAGAACTAGCTTTGCCAGACTTGTAAGAGGATGAAATGTGAGGGAAATGCTACATTTCATTTTAGAAAGGCTAATGTCTAGTGTTTAACACATCATTGGAAGCTGTGGTATCTGGATTATATTCGCAGCTGTGCTTTTGGCTCTCTGACTAGGACAAGTCACTTAATTTTTCTTTGTTGCATTTACTTATCTGTAAAACGAATAATGTAGCATCTGTTTTGTAGAGGTGTTACACTTCATTCATTACAGCCTGTACTGATCAGTGTGATCTTTGGATGGAAAGTGGTGCATAGCAATATTAATAAAGAATAATTTAAACAAATGCTATCATTAAAGTATTAACCTGTAATGGATACTCTGGAAATAAAATTGCAGTCTAACTACTTCTGGATCTTTATGTTTTCAGTCGAGTGAATCACTGTGTGGTTCTTTAGAGTTTTCAGTTTTCCTTCCCTGTAATGATGTGTTTTTAGCAGCGCCTCAAAACTAACATTTAAATTTTTTTACTCTTCAAGCTTTGTTGGACTAAAGGAAAACTTTTCAATGCATGAACGTATGACCTCTTTTCAGTTGGGAAGCAAACAGATTTCCAGTCTCCTCTCTTCTCTTCCCTCCTCCTTTCTAGGCTAGCATACATCTTTCTTAATGTAGGAAAGAATCTGTAATTGGCACAGTGATCTACTTTTCTCAAATACATAGTGTGTATAACATTTTCTTGATTATTTAATCTCCCTTGAGAAGGGTATAGCTTGCTGCAGATTGTAAACAGTAAATGTTATGGCCAATGCATCATTTTTATAATATCACTAAATGAAATGGAGCCCTTCAAGCACGCAAAATTATTATGGGATACCATTTAGCTCTAGCCATTCTGTCATTAGCACGTGAGAGGAATGATTACATTTTAGTTCTGTCAGAATTGTTTGTTGGTGAGAAATGCTTAAGTAGACTTAGTTATGGTTTTCCTGGGTTATTACAGAAATAAAAAGCCTCGATAGACCGGGTTTTGTTCCGTTGTAGCCCTCCATGTAGATCTCTAGCCATTTTAAGCACCAAACATAAAATGTAGTCCAGAATTGGTTCAAGATTACATGCTTTTCAGTTATAATGACTGATAACATTGGTTTCCTGATGGTTCTGTTTCTCTGCCAGCTTGAAATGGCTCATTTCAGTAACATGTATCTTGTAACTTCAGATGCGGCATGCATTTGCCCTCCTGTGTGGATGACTGATTCAGCGCAGACCTAGGGATTTGTTCCAACCTGCTGTTGATAGAATTGCTGTTGCCAGTTTATATTTTGTCTTAACAGAATGGTGGCCTTAAAGCTATAATTTTTTATAACTGTAGGTGCTGTGACTGACTGTGAGTAGCTTTTTAGACCCTTGTTTCAAATGTTAATCTATTATTTTTTTTTCCTGGGCTGGAAAAATGTGTTTGCTTACTTGGTAGTGGCTGATGAGGTAACTTTCCCTGAGAACAGCCAGTGGCTGGATATGCAAGTTAACAAGCAGGGGGTCTGGTCAACTTACAGCTTCTAAACCGAAAACTTACTACAGTCTTTAAGTTTTACTGAGTCGCTCAATCTGTAATGGACCTTGGGCGCATAAAGGCCCTTTCCCGCTGTTGCTGGATCAGAAGTTG